GTAAAAGTGCATTGTCTATAAAAGTATATATGTTCTTAGGCATAAATGGTGTCCATGCTGTTAATTAAGATATGCTGTAGATAATCCAAATGTTTGTATATTAAGTATTGTAATCCAAATCCTTGTACATATAGTCATGTTTCCTTAGATGTGTAATGTAATTTAGATATGTGTTCAGACAACTAAACTCCACCTTGTAACTCCACATTTGTATTCTGTTGTAACCCCCTTTTGGTGATCTCTGTAAACAAATGTATTGTAACCCTCCTGCACACCTTTGATGCAAAAGAATAAAAGCACTGCACCCATCAGAAGCTCTCCTCTCGTTATTTACTCGATGCCAAAGGGGCTGCTACAGTGAAAACTCGTTGCTGCAGTGGAGACTCGACACTGCACCTCTACCATAACCGGCTGCGTCGCTGTCTTCATCAAACTGTGAGTACAAACTTCCCAATGCCTTGCAGGACACGTGCGGATGCCATCTGTGACGAGATCTGTGACCGCAGCTTAATTGACGAATACTAGGTGGCCGCCATTCGTATACCGAACACGAGGTCGCGGCCATTTTAAATACGCGAACGCACAGCGGTGTTCGATGCCTAACTCATGGAACTAAAAACGGACACAGTTTGGCACGGACACCGCTGAAGCCGTCGACCGCTGGAAGGTATTAGACTTATTCTAGAAAATATTTTTTTTTGGTTTGGAGATGATTTTTACCTCCAGATCAATGGTACTACCATGGGGACCAAGTTCGCCCCAAGCTATGCCAATATATTTATGTCATATTGGGAACGTTTGTTTGTATATGACGGACATGGCTGGGATGAGAACTTGGTTTCCTATGGCCGCTACATTGACGATATTTTTTTTATTTGGAAAGGAAGAGAGGAGTTTTTGCAAGAATTTCTTACTTTTTAAAATTCAAATACTTGGGGTATTAAATTAACCAGCACATGGAGTAATTTAGAAATAGCTTTTTTAGATCTTACTATTCTTATAGAAGATGGAGTGATTAAAACATAAAAAAAATTTAAGACAGTTGATGTTAATAGTTTTATTAATAAAGAAAGTTGCCGTTTTACCCCTTGGCTGGAAAATGCACTTGGGGACAATTTCTACGCATTAGGCGTAATTGCACAGATTTAGGTTATTATGAAGATCAATCGACTAAAATTAAGAATGCTTTTTTAGACAAAGGATATGAAGAAAATAAGTTAGAAGAAGCAAGATTGAGAGTGAGAGAGACAGAAAGGGAGGGCCTTTTAGTATATAAAGAAAGGATAAAACAGGATGCAGAAGATGTATCTTTTATCTGTAATTATAGCTTAGAAAATGGTAAAATTAGAAATATTATTTATAAGTTTTGGCCTATTTTACGTCAAGATCCATCTTTGGCTACTATTTTAATGGAAAAGCCACGTTTTATTCATAGAGGAGTGGGAAATCTCCGTAGCACTTTAACTTCTAGTTTTATTAGAGACCGGAAAATGAATGATACTTTTTTAAATGAAAGGAAAGGGTTTTATGGATGTGGCTATTGTTTAGCCTGCAAGAGGACAGGGAATAAAAAAAGAAGTTTAACTCCTTTCAAAAGTAAGGAAGATTATAAGATAAGGGAAATGATAACGTGCTATACTAAGAATGTTATTTATGTTCTACAGTGTCCCTGTGGTCTAAATTATGTGGGGAAAACGACTCGGGCCCTACATATTCGGATAGAGGAACATAGTAGAAACATTATGAAAGGAGCACATAACCATAGTGTACCAGCACACTATAAACAATTTCATAACCAGTCCCCTTTAGGTTCCTTATTTTGAGGTATTAAAAAAGTCTCAAAAGATTGGAGAGGAGGTAATTTTAATCAAAAACTTAGTAGGGAGGAAATGAGAATGATTTTTGAGTTAAACACTCTCACTCCCTACGGTCTTAATACGGATTTTGAAATCTGCCACTTTTTAGGATAGCTCAGTTTGTATTAATATGTATTTATTCCTTTTTTATTATGAAATGTCTTATTTTTCCATTCTCCATCCTTCATATAAAGTCCCCTAATACAATAGGAATAGTTTTTAAATCTTGATAGTATTTACTATATCACAGTATAGATTGCAGGATTCTTAGAGACATTATATGAAAGGGACTGACAGTGTGAAGCAACTATATACATTGTATATTTTATAATTGTGTCATTTGATGGAATTGGTTACTCTTTCACCTTTGTAACCCTCCATATGAAACATATATGTAATGTAGAGGGAATGTAACCATTATTGGTGTGTTTAACTGGAACTGTTTCATCTGGAGGAAATGTTGAATCAGAGTAAGGGGATATTCCCCACGGGATTTCTTTACTGCTAACTTTTGCAGATTTAATGTGATATAGTATATTTATATATATATATATATATATATATATTTGTTCTTTTTCCCTGTATAGCAGCACCTGTTTATTATTATTCTTGTTTTTTTGTATTATTTGATTGTGGACTTGATATGATGAACGGTACTTGCATATGACGCCCGGTATTAGTTCACATGATCGATAGAGATGACTTCCTATGCGGAAGTGATCCGAAGAAAGGAATGATGTGTGGAACGCGAGTACTGATCGGGCGTTCAGAGGATATGAGCGCCCTTTTTTAAAACAGCAGAAGAGAGGACTATAAAAGCAGGACTATCACATATTGGGAAAACACATTGGACCCAGCTGAGGAAGCCGTCGGAGTTACGGTGAAACGCGTTTTGGGAAGGAGTGTATGATACCTTTTGATGCCCATAAATTACTTTTTTTTATTTATTTTGTAATTTTGCACACTATTCTGTGTTTTTATATTATTAAGGGTTTAATATATCCCTTTTTTTTTGTAATAAAATTATTTTTTACTGACACTGTGGGCTGGTTGGTTCCTGCTTTAAAGAGTCCAACTTTGATTCAACGTGCAGAGACAGAGCCGATATAGAGGCTCCGCTTTTGTGAGTATATTATGCACCAGAAGTAGTAGAATTTTGTATAGACGTTCTACACCATATATTTGTTCTATTTGAGTCCTAGAGGCGATTAGACAAGACTACCCTGTTAGAAGAAGGGGAAGGTCGCCTGTACGGACCTACATATGTTTATCCCTGAGCTTGGCGTTAAGCTCAGGAGAATGTGAGTTAATTACGATTTTTTATACGATTTTATTTTTACAGTGTTACACTATCGGAGCTCTTTTTCCTCTGTTTTAGGTTTACTGTATATGGTATTCGGACTATTCTCATCGAGATGTTTTTTTTCCACAGACTAGGTTCAGCCCTATTGTATGTATGTATATAGCGCTACACCTTTCTCCTTTTTTATGTTTGTATTGATGTAAGTAAGAAAGATTGCATCTAGGTGTTACAGCAGCTTTTTTAGTGTTTTGACTAGAGAGTGTTTTATTCTGTTTTAGCGCCAGTATATTGTTTTTATACAATCCAATTCCCCCAATAACGAGACGACACTTCGTTTTGAGGGTCAAGCAGGAACTGATTTACTGGGGCTACCGGCCCGGCTTTTATGCAGGTCTCCCACCTGGTGGACACTCCCCTAGGGGACCAGATGGGAAACTGGAAAACATATTGGACATTGACCAATCACAGACATACACCTTTAAACACTCCCACAATGCATCACAATCCCTCCTCTCTGTCCTGGAGATAATTGGGAAGTAATCCAATTATCTCCAATGACCGAGGCAAAACTCCATTAGCCACATGGCAGACAAAGGACAATAAAAGACATAAAATTACATGCTGTTTTATCACATAGAACATACACATTCTACCTATCCCCAGATAGCTTAGATCTGAGCGCACATTATTACCGGATGGTGCTCAGATCACATACATACAGTTCAATCGCCATGGAGCCAAAGTCTTTCATACAGTCTTTCAGTATACGGCTGGGCTCCATGGCATAGCTATCTGGGGTAGCATGGCTTTAACAGTCTGTAGAAAGGCACAAATACGCTTTTCTGCAGGGAAAATAAAAGGTTTTAACTGCCGGGCCATAGTCTAAAGGGAGCAGGCGAGCAACCAGGCTCCTCCAGTGGACAGTGGCGAGGCTGGTTTCGCCACACATTGTGGGAATATAAGGTGACTGTGTGTCCTAGATTGCTGATTGTCTGTCCTTTGTTACAGTCTCCCATTTGGTCCCCTAGGGGAGTGTCCACCAGGTGGGAGACCTGCATAAATACTGGGCAGGTAGCCCTCATTAAACAGACCACTGCTTGACCCACAACACGAGCCTTGTCTCGTCTTTGGGGGGATTTACTGAATGCTGATAGAGACCGATTGCTAGGAGTGTAAGCCGCTTGGATGCTTTTCCTATTCGTTTGCTAGCAGCTATTCGTATGGTTCCCGTTCGTGAGTTTGGAGTGCTATATTCTATGCCGTTCGGGAGTTTGGAGCATTCCCTTACATGCAGTTCGGGAGTTTGGTGTTCTACAGTAGCTGTGCCTGCATCTCGGAAAGGGGACGATCGCCTAAACGGTTTTAACCCCTTGTGTGCTGAAACGGTCCGTTACACCATCTTGGCAGCAGATTATCGGCTGAAAAGTAAACGTGTCACGTGGGCTTCTAAATATAGCTGGCTGTTTTATATGTGGTCCGGAATCCGCCCTTAATTAGTATGCGAGCCAAATAATTCATATTTTGCTTAAGCAGCGATTAAGTTATTATGTTTGTGATATGAGAGCCTAGTGTTTAGAGGCCTAGTGTCAAATTGTAAGCAACACTATCTCCGAAGTTCCTAATCCACTAAACTGTTGGGTAAATTGTCTGGTTAGAAAGTATCAGCAGTATATTCGTTTAAAACGTTATGTCGTATTGTATGCATTGTTTGCTAATCTTTATAAGTTATAAGTGTAAATGCCTGTTTTCTGTCGTAGCCCTTAGTAGCAAGTTTGCGCCAACACTCATTCAAATTGAGTTCAGACAAATTCACTTGAAAGGCAAAGGCCCACTAGCACAAAATGTTGTCACCTGCTGAAGAAACAGACAAACCCACAGAGATACAACAGGGACGGTCCAGCTCCAGAGAGCGCAGCTTAACAGAAAAAGGCCAAGTAATGCACGAAGAAACCGCTAAGAAAAATGAAAAGGCATTTACCAAGGCATACGACTCTTGGAAGGAGCTAGCAAAAGAACTTAGGACGAAGTTAAAGACTTTCTGCTCAACTGAAGACCTTGATACAAGACTGAAGAGATCAAAGCCAAAGAAGCGTTAGTACACCAACAGTATGAGTCCATTTGCAGCAATCATTCCACTACCTCAGATGTTGTTAACAGAATGGATGCATGTGTCGCTTAACAGCTGAAATCTGCGACCTCACCAGTAAACGGCTAGAGAATATAGACGCAATCTTTAATGATCGACTTGAGAAGGAAAGAGTGAGAATGGTACTTAATAAAGAGGAGTACGAGTCAGTCTTTGGAAACACAGAAACAGAAACTGCCTTTTCAGAGTCACTTCAAGGCTCAGACTCAAGCTCAAGAGCCACCTCCAGATCTTCTAGCAGACGAGCAGAAGCCGACCTTGCACCCAAGATAGAGCAGGCAAAGGCAATGCAACAGATGCGTGAGCAACAAGCTAAGCTGAACAAACTGGAGAGTAAATTAAAGCTTAAAGAGGCACAAATGCTAGCAGAAATTAAACTGAAGTTGGATGAGGAAAAGACAAGACTACAACAGCTTTAAGCAGAAAATGAAGTCAAGGTAACAGCGGCACGAGTGAAAGCTTACAATGCCTATGATGGTCCTGAAAATTGTGAGCAGAAGACAGACCACAAGGTGCAATACCACTGCCAAAATAATGAACCTCAAACCTCATTGAATCCACAAGCTGTGCCATTTCAACCTTCAAAGACACTACTTGAGGTGTCAAGACAACAAGAAGAAGTTAGTCTTACTCCAGAACTTGCAAGTCTGCTCATCTCCCACCATCTCCCTATACCTGAACCAACTGTATTCACAGGTGATCCTTTAAAGTTCATAGATTGGAAGAAATCCTTTATGGCGTTGATTGATCAGAAGCCACTCCCTGTGTGCAAAAAAATGCTGTACTTGAAGAGGTATCTCGGTGGTGAAGCTCGTAAGGCAGTGGAAGGTTTCTTCTATTGAATTCAGAAGGTGTTTATCTAGGTGCAAAAAAATACAGAAATGAGGGAGAAGCAACCGTAAAAGACGGGAGCAAATCCCCTCAAAACTAGTACCCCCACTTGAGCAATATAGATAGGTTTGCCAACTACTGTGTATCAGACAAAGTGAAAAAATTAATAAAGTTTTATTGAAAAACCTAAAACAACGTATTTTTTAAATACACCAGACTGCTTAAACTAGAGGTGGAGGAGCATAGAGAAAGATGTTCCAGCTCATGTACAAATTATTAAACCTAATACTCAGTAACTAAATCTTTCGTTCAAAGAGTAGCAAAATAGCCACTAGAAAGTGCAACAATGTAACAAGGGTATCCATAGGGTTAACATGTTATGATACAATAGAAACAGGCTGCCATAGATTCTGGTTCCTTCAACTCAATAGAATATTATCTATAAATAAGTAAATAGGTATCCCCTCACTCTTCTACCCTCATAAACAGAAATATATAATGCCTCTACACCAAAGTCCTGATGTCATACTACAAATTTCAAAAGGGATCTTGGCTAAATTAGCTCAGTATATACAGAGTTAGTAAATCGACAGGACAGAAAGAGAGAGGCAAATAGATGAAAAATAAAGTAAGAAGGCAGTAAGGAGGGTTCATCTATTGGTGACCCAAACTTAGATAAAGGCAGTCTGTAGAGTGTGGAAACAACATCCATGTACTAGTTTTGAGGGGATTTGCTCCTGTCTTTTAGGGTTGCTTCTCCCTCATTTCTGTATTTTTTTGCATATTTGATAAGATAAGGGTTAGGCCCTTTTAGTACCCCTGTAACGCACTTTCTTTGTACTTCTTTGCTGGATCTGCTCTAGCTGAGAGTACATTGTGTCTATTGCTTATCTAGGTGCTTCGGGAATCCTACAGGAAAGGTATGGAGGTCCATTTGTTGTCCAAAGAGCTTTCAGAGGCTAACTAAATGGCCAATTATATCAGCAAATGACCCTGTAGCCTTAAAAGAGTTTGTAGACTTCCTTCAAGGTTGTGTCGAAAGCGATTCCTCTTGTTAAGGGCATATCTATTTTAAATGATTGTGAAGAAAATCACAAGCTTCTCAAGAAACTGCCTGAATAGATCGTGCACAGATGGAGTCGCATCGTTGTGGACGAGTTATACAAGTCTCAAGAATTCCCAACCATTGCTAATTTCAGAGTTCCTGAAAAAGGAAGCTAAGATTGCATGCAACCCCATTGCCTCTCCCTTCCCCCTCAGTACCAAGACTACAGATGAGAGAATTCCCAAGAAGGCCAAGGCGCTCAACACAAGCACTCAAATTAAGCCCTCCACCTCCAGCATCAGAGATCTCCATTTCAAGACCAAAACCACCTTGCCTAGTCTGCAAAGACGAAACACACGGTGTCGCTAAATGCTCAACGTTTGCAGCAAAGACCATCGATGAAAAGAAGGTCTTCATTTATGCTCTGCTTCGGTTGCTTAAGTAAAGGCCACACTACAAAAAACTGCAAAGGAAGACACACGTGTAGTATATGTAGTCGACGTCATCCAACCTGTTTGAACATACAAAGAAACACTGAGCCTGTTAAAGCACCAAGCAATGATCCAGTAGCCATGGGAAATAAGGCAAATGACAACGTTCCCAAAGTTATGTCCCATACATTGACAAGGCATACTTCTGCAACATCCTGCATTGTTCCAGTTCTGTTTTCAGCTGCGGCAGAGCCTCAGAGAGAAATCCTCACTTATGCCTTACTTGACACGCAGAGTGATTCAACCTTTATTTTGGCTGACCTGGTATCTAAGCAAAGTGTGAGCACCAAGCCATTACAGCTAAAGCTCAGCACAATGACAGCTGTTAACACAGTTATATCAAGCCAAATTACTTATGGTCTGCAAATGCGTCGCTTCACTTCTAAAGCTCAAGTCCAACTCCGTCAAGCCTATACGAGAGATTTAATTCCAGTTGATAAATCTCACATCCCCACTAAGGTGGGTCACACCTCAAGCACTTGGAAAACAAGTTACAGCCACTTCAAGACTGCGAAGTCGGACTGCTGACCGGTTACAACTGCCCTTGGAGGTTGTTACTGGCTCCGAAAATGAACCCTCCGCTCAAAAACTGTGCTCAGCTGGGGCATTATAGGGTCAGCAAATCCTCATTGTGATAGTCCGTGTAGCCAGAGCTTTGTACACAGAGTCACAGTGAAAGAAATGCCAACACTTCCAGTCACTGATGTGTTAAAGGCCTTAGAAATGGACTTCATTGAAAGAAACTATGAGAACAAGTACGTATCTCAAGATGACGTTTGCTTTGTGCAGTTTCTCTCTGAAAAGGAAAGATGGACACTATGACATGCCATTAACCTTCAAAGACAATAGTCAACTAGCCCTACCAAACCATAAGAGGCTGGCCATTATTTGATTCCAACATTTAAAGAAAAGGTTGAAGGCCAAGAAACAGTACCATGAGCACTACATTGCATTCATGGAAAAAACTATCAGAAAGTGTGATGCAGAACCAGCCCCTTTATTGTCAGAGGAAGAAACAGTGGGGTACATCCCACATCACAAGGTTTTTCACCCCAAGAAGCCAGACAAGTTGAGTTGTCTTTGATTGTTCAGCAAAGTTCCAAGACACTTTACTGACAGGTCCTGACCTGATAAATTCTCTAGTGGGAGTTCTCTGTTGCTTCAGGAAGGAAGCAGTTGCTGTAATATGGGACATTGTAAAGATGTTCCATCAGTTCTACATGCCCCCAGAAATGTGCACTTACTTAAAGGACCACTATAGTGCTGGAAAACAAACTAGTTTTCCTGGCACTATAGGGTCTTTAGGTTCCCTCCACCCTCAGGGTCCCACTCGCGCTGGGCTCAAAGGGGCTGAAGGGGTTAAACACTTACCTTTCTCCAGCAGCGGGATCCCTCTGGGTTGGGGAACTCTTCTCCTCCTGCCGACATCAGCGCTGAATGTGCATGCACGGCAAGAGCCGCTCGCGCATTCAGACAGTCCATAGGAAAGCATTTCTCAATGCTTTCCTATGGACGTCCAGCGTTTTCTCACTGTGATTTTCACAGTGAGAATCGCAGAAGCACCTCTAGCGGCTGTCAGTGAGACAGCCACTAGAGGCTGGAATAACCCTAGTGTAAACATAGCAGTTTCCCTGAAACTGCTATGTTTACAGCTGCAGGGTTAACACTAGATGGACCTGGCACCCAGACCACTTCATTGAGCTGATTGAGTGGTCTGGGTGCCTATAGTGGTCCTCTAAGGTTCCTTTGGTGGGAGAACGGTCAGTTGGAAACAGAACCCAAAGAGTACAGAATGGCAGTTCATCTTTTCGGTGCCAGCTCCTCTTTAGGATGTACCAATTTCGGTCTTAAGTATCTTGCATGACAATACAAGGCAGAATATCTCTCTGCATCAGCCTTCATTGAGAAGAAAATGTATGTTGATGGCCTAACCAGTGTTTCAACAGTCAGTGAAGCTACAAATCTAATCCTCGAAGCACAAGAACTATGCAAGAATACCGGCTTACGTCTTCATAAGTTCAACTCTAACAGAAAAGACATCCTGTCTTGTGTAGCTCCATCAGAAAGAGCAACAACTTGTGAAGCTCTCAAACTTAACCCAGACTCAACACCAGAAGGACAAGTACTTGGCATTCAGTGGTCAATTGAAAATGATACTTTCAGCTTCAGCATTGACATAAAGGATCAACCCTCAACTCGTCGTGGTATCCTGTCAGTTGTAACCTCTCTTTATGAACCTCTAGGTTTCATAGCTCTCTTCATACTGAGTGGCAAGTGCATTCTCCGAGAGCTTTGCTGCAGGGGCATCAGTTGGGATGAGGTACTTCCTGAGAGCTTAAGCCCATGGTGGGAGGCCTGGAAGAGGAGCTGGTGGAAAAAGGAATACCTCATGAGTGTTTCCACAAGACAGAAATGGCACACACCTCGACATAACCTGAAAGTAAATGACATAGTTGTAATAAAAGAAGATATGTCTCCAAGATGCCAGTGGCAGCTAGGACATATGATTAAAACTACAATAGAAAAGGATGGTATAGTTTGTCGAATCAAGGTGTTAGTAGATGACAGAAGATTGCAAGATAAGAAGGACCATCTATTAAAACCTCCAATTATTGAACATCCTATTCAAAAGCTAGTAGTTCTCATAGAAAGTAAATAAGTTATCTGTTTTAATTATACACTAGCACACCACCACACAATACAGTAGCCATTTACAGAGGTACCTATAATCTATTTTGTTTACAACTCATGTTTCTGTAAATTATGTATGACTCTATGTTATATTCGTCCTAACATAATTTGGTGGGAGTGTAACTGTCCGCTTATTACATTTCCCTGGGGAATGTTTGACCATCAGACCCCTGTCCTTCCTCTAGTTGTGGAAGCAAAAGGCTCTCTGTGACTCCACATTCAGATGCCAAGCAAGCTAGCAGCACATCGTGGGAAGGCAATTGTTATTGAGGTTTTTCTAAAGTTTAAAGTTGCACCCCTTGGCAAGCGGAGTGAGGTACGCAGTAAAAGTGCATTGTCTATAAAAGTATATATGTTCTTAGGCATAAATGGTGTCCATGCTGTTAGTTAACCCCTTAAGACCGGAGGGCGTACAATTACGCCCTATTTTAGGCAGCTCTAAACGCTGCCGGGCGTAATTGTACGCCCTCCAGTCTTTTCTTACTTACCCGGTCGCCGGCGGTCCCATGCCGGCGATCACGGTGGGGGGGACTCCCAGGGAGACCCCCGCGGTAGATCCTTTTCTTCCGGTGCCCCCCGGCCATGTGAGAGTGGGGTCCTTGCAAGGACCCCACAATCACATGGCCGGGTAGGCTGCCTCCTGCATTGCCAGCAGGGGGGCTGCCTGTAATGACAGGTGGTCCCCCTGCTGGCTGAAAATAAAATTAAAAGAGATTAAAAAGTGTAAAAGAAAAAAAAGTATACATAGATCATATATATATATATATATATATATATATATATATATATATATATATATATATATATATATGATCTAAGTATATATATATATATATATACACATACAGGGAGTGCAGAATTATTAGGCAAGTTGTATTTTTGAGGATTAATTTTATTATTGAACAACAACCATGTTCTCAATGAACCCAAAAAACTCATTAATATCAAAGCTGAATATTTTTGGAAGTAGTTTTTAGTTTGTTTTTAGTTATAGCTATGTTAGGGGGATATCTGTGTGTGCAGGTGACTATTACTGTGCATAATTATTATGCAACTTAACAAAAAACAAATATATACCCATTTCAATTATTTATTATTACCAGTGAAACCAATATAACATCTCAACATTCACAAATATACATTTCTGACATTCAAAAACAAAACAAAAACAAATCAGTGACCAATATAGCCACCTTTCTTTGCAAGGACACTCAAAAGCCTGCCATCCATGGATTCTGTCAGTGTTTTGATCTGTTCACCATCAACATTGCGTGCAGCAGCAACCACAGCCTCCCAGACACTGTTCAGAGAGGTGTACTGTTTTCCCTCCTTGTAAATCTCACGTTTGATGATGGACTACAGGTTCTCAATGGGGTTCAGATCAGGTGAACAAGGAGGCCATGTCATTAGATTTTCTTCTTTTATACCCTTTCTTGCCAGCCACGCTGTGGAGTACTTGGACGCGTGTGATGGAGCATTGTCCTGCATGAAAATCATGTTTTTCTTGAAGGATGCAGACTTCTTCCTGTACCACTGCTTGAAGAAGGTGTCTTCCAGGAACTGGCAGTAGGACTGGGAGTTGAGCTTGACTCCATCCTCAACCCGAAAAGGCCCCACAAGCTCATCTTTGATGATACCAGCCCAAACCAGTACTCCACCTCCACCTTGCTGGCGTCTGAGTCGGACTGGAGCTCTCTGCCCTTTACCAATCCAGCCACGGGCCCATCCATCTGGCCCATCAAGACTCACTCTCATTTCATCAGTCCATAAAACCTTAGAAAAATCAGTCTTGAGATATTTCTTGGCCCAGTCTTGACGTTTCAGCTTGTGTGTCTTGTTCAGTGGTGGTCGTCTTTCAGCCTTTCTTACCTTGGCCATGTCTCTGAGTATTGCACACCTTGTGCTTTTGGGCACTCCAGTGATGTTGCAGCTCTGAAATATGGCCAAACTGGTGGCAAGTGGCATCGTGGCAGCTGCACGCTTGACTTTTCTCAGTTTATGGGCAGTTATTTTGCGCCTTGGTTTTTCCACACACTTCTTGTGACCATGTTGACTATTTTGAATGAAACGCTTGATTGTTCGATGATCACGCTTCAGAAGCTTTGCAATTTTAAGAGTGCTGCATCCCTCTGCAAGATATCTCACTATTTTTGACTTTTCTGAGCCTGTCAAGTCCTTCTTTTGACCCATTTTGCCAAAGGAAAGGAAGTTGCCTAATAATTATGCACACCTGATATAGGGTGTTGATGTCATTAGACCACACCCCTTCTCATTACAGAGATGCACATCACCTAATATGCTTAATTGGTAGTAGGCTTTCGAGCCTATACAGCTTGGAGTAAGACAACATGCATAAAGAGGATGATGTTGTCAAAATACTCATTTGCCTAATAATTCTGCACTCCCTGTATACATACACACACATACACTGTCTAGGTGTATTTTACTATTAATATATATATAATTATCACATAGACTGATACTGATTAAATATATATATAATTATTGTTATAGCTTTCAAAAAAGAGTCAGCACTCAAGGACTTTCAATATGCTAAAAAATGCAAAAAAACCTTTTGATCCAGTTGTTTAAAGAGGTCAACGTTTCAGTCCATCGTCGTGGACTTTCATCAGGACATAAATGACAAGACACAACATTCAGTTTAAATAAGAAAAAACTAACTTACCGAACCGTTCCCACCTTATTGTTATATATATATATTTATATATAATATTAAAAAATTAAATATGTAAATACGTTTAAAAAAAATTAAAAAATAATTTAAAAAAATTATTTAAAAATATATAGATGTGTGTTATTTCGTTCTAACTGTATTGTGATATTAATATATATATATATATTTATATCAAAATACACGTAGAACGAAATACTATACATTTCTACATACATAAATATATACGTATATATCACTATATATATATACCTATATATAAATAAAAATATTTTTAACAAATTATATATATACACATATAGATTCACATACGTATATATATACATATATTAATTCTACATATATATTTATGTAATATTTTTACATAATTAGGTATCTTAATTAATTACAATTAGCGGGACCTGCCTGACAACCCATGCCGAAAGTAAAGGGAATTTAATTTGCTAGCACTATATTTAACCCTATAACTTTCCAAGACACCATAAGACCTGTACATGGGGGGTACTGTTCTACTCGGGAGACTTCGCTGAACACAAATATTAGTGTTTCAAAACAGTAAAGTGTATTACAACGATGATATCGCCAGTAAAAGTGAAGTTTTTTGCCTTTTTCATGCACAAACAGCACTTACACGGACGATATTATTGCTGTGATACTTTTTACTGTTTTGAAACACAAATATTTGTGTTCAGCGAAGTCTCCCGAGTACAACAGTACCCCTCATGTACAGGTTTTATGGTGTTTTCAAAAGTTACAGCGTCAAATATAAGGCTTGCGTTTCATTTTTTTCACATTAAAATTCGCCAGATTGGTTACGTGCCTTTGAGACCCTATGGTAGCCCAAGAATGAAAATTACCCCTATGATGGCATACCATTTGCAATAGTAGACAACCCAAGGTATTGCAAACGGGGTATGTCCAGTCTTTTTTAGTAGCCACTTAGTCACAAACACTGGCCAAAATTGGCGTTTTTTGCATTTTTCACACAAACAAATACTAACGCTAACTTTGGCCAGTGTTTGTGACCAAATGGCTACTAAAAAAGACTGGACATACCCCATTTGCAATACCTTGGGTTGTCTACTATTGCAAATGGTATGCCATTATGGGTGTAAATTTCATTCCTGGCTACTATAAAGTCCCAAAGGCAACGTAACCAATCTGGCGAATTTCAATTTCAAATGTAACGTGCTATATTTGACCATGTAACTTCCCAAAACGCCATAAAACCTGTACATAGGGGGTACTGTTTTACACGTGAGACTTTGCTGAATAAAAATATGTGTAGTTTATTGCAGTAAAAGCAAACAGTATTATGACATTGACAGTTAAAATGTCATGTAGAACTAAAAAAATAAAAAAAATCTTATTTTCTCCCATTGTTTTCATATTAAATTATGTTTCATAGCTAAATATTTGATATTAAATGGAAGCCCTGTTTCCCCTGAATAAGATTATATATAATAAGGGTGGGTGCATTTAATATTTTACAGTTTTCACGGTGCTTAGTGTTTACGGTGCTTATGGTTCACGGTGCTCAACCCTCCTGCACACCTTTGATACAAAAGAATAAAAGGACTGCACCTGTCAGGCGCCCTCCTCTATTTATTTACTTGATGCCAAAGGGGCCGCTACACTGTCTGTTTACAGAAAAAAGTTTCACGCAGAACCGACAGACATATGGCAGTTTTTATAAGAAATATAAATTATATGTTCAGTATTTGTTTATGTATATAAGAGGAATTACAAAAAGACAAATAATAAGACAAAGTCACAGAGAAAAATACAGAAAAATAAGCAGTGTCGTCGTCAGTGCCCCACTCCCCACACACACACTCACACACACACGAGGGAAATATAGTGCTCATTCTGCTTAATAGAACACAATCTCATTATATGAGAAAACTGGTTCGAGCAAGGCCAAGGCTAGATATGTAAGTGCAGCTGACTGATAATCGTGTAAAACTGGTAAACAACTGTAATTGGATAACATATCATGTAGAAATGTACATTTTAATAGGGTCTTGTTGACTACGAGAGGCTTGCTTTAATCATTCAATGAGTGGACCATGATAATGACTGCATGGTGATAATATTTTTAATATGATTTATATCAGCAGCTATAGATAAATGTAATGATACATCTGCTTAGAATGTAATCATTAGACAGCATGTACCTGTCCTCCTCTTCCTGACTAGCTAAACATTGCATTGTCCCTTTTTATGAGCACTTTAGAGTGTCCGTGGATTTGGTTGGTATCATTTAGTAACTTTTG